CCACTTACTTCCCAGCTCCACCCTCCACCAGGATAACCCTTCTCATCTACCAAGTCCCTTAAACTGAAGTTATAACTTCTGACTTATAAAAAAAAACACCCAAGATCAATTAGATACAGAGATACATAAGGAATACCCCAAGCCACTGACAAGGAAGAAATTGATACAATTAAGATGTTGGTATAGACTTCTAGCTCCCAAACCTATTTTTTGTGCTACAGTAGCACTAAAAGACACAGACAGATGGCCAGTTGATTCCCTTCTAGAGAGAGGTACATTCCATTGTATCTTTTGTCTTTGAGAAACAGCCTTATGCGCTATTTGCTTTTCCCCAAGAGATTTTGACAAATGTCCTTATCATATCTGAAATCTCCTTTTGGGTCAATTTTATGACTTGGATAGGAAAAATGAACCAACACCTTCTCTCTATTATCCTCATCCTTGCACTTGGGTCCATGATAGTCTTCCTCTTTCATTTAGAAGACCTTTTCCTTAGAACAAAGCACACATTTGATTGCCCCACTCTTGAGAGTGTCTGGGTCCATCTTGTATTGGTGGGGCTCTCAAGACCAGTCTAATTTTTTCTAGTAGTAAGACCTAGGAGGTTAAAAATAAGTTCTGACAAATGGATAGAGAAGCTCTGGTATATTCACACAATGGAATACTACGCAGCGTTGAAAAACACAGAACTCAAGCAATATTATTCAAAATGGGTGACCCTAAAGGACATTATGCTGAGTGAAATATCTCATTCACAAAAGGACAAATATTGCATAGTACCACTGTTGTAGAATGGGATTGACATCAGGGTTGGGGTGAGACTGAGAAAAGCTAGATAAATTATGTATACTGCATTGAAACAGAAAAAGGAGAGAACAGTTTAATAGTGATATATGATTGGGTATCATCGTTATGACAAGAGTCCAGAGCGAAGGTTGCATAGTGAAGTGTACTCAGAATGGGGGAGGGGGGCTGTATATTAATGAAGGAATTTTTCTTTTACTTTTCAAAGAGAAGAGCGAACTTGGGGGGGAGGAGAGGTGGGGCAGGGGAGAAAAATGCAACAATGAATGAGAGGAAATAAAAAAATCTCAGTAAATGTTCATTAAAATTAATAAAAAAAATTTTTTAAAGTTTTTATTAGGTGTACAATGGATAGCAAAGCCTTGACCTTTTGGAATGTGGTAAAAAGACAAGTAGATTAAAAAAAAACCAATATGACTATGTATATTAAATATACTCCATAAACAACTTTGAATTTCTACTGCTCAGTCACTTGCTGTTGTTGTTCGTTGCTGTTAAGTATGACTCATAGTCACCCTCTGAACCCTGCCTGAACCTACACCATCCTCACAATCTCTGAAACTCCTGAGCCCACTGCCACAGTCACTGTGTCAATCCACCTGGTTGAGAGTCTTCCACTCTTTCATCATCCCTCCATCTTTCCATGATATCCTCTCCAAGGAATAGCCTCTCCTAGGAACATATCCAAAGAATGTGAGATAAAGCTTCGTCATTTTTGCCTCCAAGAAGCACTCTGGCTATATTTTCTCCAAGACATATCTGTTCTTCTGGTAGTCAATGGGATATTTAGCAATCTTCTTCAACACCACAGTTCAAAGGCATCGATTCTTCTTCTGTCATCCTTAGTCATTGTCCAGCTCTCAAGATGCATAGCAAGTGACTGACAAGACCACGGCCTGAATCAGGTGGACCTTAGTCCTCAAACCGAAATAAATGCTACTCAATAATTTGGAGAGGTCCCTAATACAGATTTTTTCTCAGATTCTCCTGATCTCCTGACTACTAGTACCAGGCACACTGACTGTGGATTCAAATAAGATGAAGTCATTGGTAGTTTCAATATTTTCTCCATCTATCATGATGTCACCTATTGGTCTAGTGGCTAGCATTTTTTTTTTCCTTGACAATGAATTGCAATCCATGTTGAAGGCCACAGTCTTTGATTTTCCACAGCAAGTGCTTTAAGTCCTCCTCACTTTGAGCAAGCAAGGTTGTGCAATCTGCACAACAAAGGTTATTGTTGAGTTTTCTCCTACCCTGATGTCACATTCTTCTTTTCTTCATTGAGTCCAACTGCTCGAATAATCTTTTCCGTTTACAAACTAAATAGGTATGGAGAAAAAAAAATACAACCTAGACACACACCTTTCCCAATTTTAAGCTATCACGTAGTGTTTCCTGGCTCTATTTTCACAACAGTCTCTTGGTCTAGGTTTTGCACCAGCACAAATAAGTATTCTAGAATTTCTATTCTTCTCAATTTTAGCTATAAGTTGTTATGATCTACATAGTCAAATGCCTTTGCATAGTCAATAAAGCACAAATAGGAATTCTGGTATTCTCTGCTTTCAGCCAGGATCCATCTGACATCAGCAATGATATCCCTGGTGCCATGGCCTCCTCTAAATCCAGCTTGAACATCTGGTAGTTCTCTATCAATGTACTATTCTAGTCATTTTTAAATGATCCTCAGCAATATTTTGCTTGCATGTGATATTAATGATGTTGTTTTATAATTTCCACATTTTTTTGGATTACCTTTCTTGGGAATAGGAACAACATGCTAGTCGCTAGACACAAGCCATTTAGGCAAAATACAGATCAAATATTTAGCACCCTGGGCTTATCTTCTGCTCACCAACTTCATTCAGTTCAGGCATCTCTAGGCAGTTTGGCCTTTCTGGGGGAGTTTTCCTTTCCTTTCCTCCTGTCTCTAAAATGAAACTCAGATCTCCTGTGGCCTAGCCAAGCTTCTTGTCCAACCTGATTTTCTTCTAACCTCATAGGTTCATCTTGGCCCACTGCCTAACATCAAGTATACTTAGACCTGGGAGGCCTTCAAACACAAGGGTCTCCCTGATAAGGTGGTGCCTACTGAGAGTCTAGTAGTTGTCTGGATTGAATTATCAAGAGTCAAATCTCAACACATTTCTTAAAACTATGTTTAGTGATTTCATACAACTTCCTCCAAATAATGGAAAAAAAGAAATAGTAAACTAGGAAAGGGGGAGGAATATGGGCTCAAGTTCCTATAAATTCTGTTCTTTCCTCAGGCTTATTGTTCAGACTAAGGGAGCTGAGAGAGGAATCTATTAACTCCAAATTGGTATCACATCAAGCAGGGGTTCCCTAATTATACATGTATGTGCACAATAAGGCCCTTGTGGCAAAATAAACAGGAGAAATTGCCTGGGGTATTCTGAACACACCACCATTAATGTCTGAGATCCTATCATTATAACAATGCTATGCTGTTTATCTGTATACTTTTAAAAGAAAATTCTACCTTCTACTCTTGAACCACTTGGTCATAATACTTTATTATTCTAAGTATTTAAAAACTAGCTACTTATTTCTGAGAGATTAAATGCTCCAGTGTTTGTTTCAATGTGCTGGCTACTAAATAGTTTATGTTCATTTTGACTATCAAGAAGATATAATTAATACAATCTTTAGATTATTAAGAAGCAATTTTAAAATTCTTCTAGTCATCCCTTCCTTCACATCCCATTTACTGTCTAATTCTATTTTAAGACATTGTATTTGTTTTGCTGAATTCATTCATGGTATCTCTGTGGGCCTGAATTTAACATAGTTCCTGTTGTGAGGACTGCTCCTCTATTTGTAGGAGCTATTTAGGTCCCTGGAGTGGAGAGAAAGAGGTTGCTACTTAATAGAAATGGCATGTATCCAAATAATTGTCTATCAAACACCTGTTGAACATAAATGATGAAGAGATTTTTACAATTTCAAAAACCCAGAACCAAAACCTGATTCACTTGACACAAGATTTAACCAAGAAAAACAAGTCTCCTTACCAAAGAAAGAAACGCTTAAATAACACTGGCTGCTTCAGAAAGAAAAGAGCTGCTTCAAAAAGCAATCTGTTTCCCTCTGAATTATTTCCTATCAAATGCCGCTTTGGAGGAAGTAATTTTATTTGAACCACAGGGCATACATGGCAATTGTTGGCTTTCTAAAATAAAACAAGCATGCCAAATATTTTGAGTTGTCAAGGGTGAGCAAGAATGAAAAGACCCACGGAAGAAATGGAAACTAACCAAGAGTAATACGACACTCCCCCTTTATATGCACAAGGCTGCCACACACAACTTCCTGAAAGCGAGGCTGTGCAAAAGCAGAATGTCTATCCTCTCAACCCTGGAACGGGGCGGGGGGGGGCGTGTAAGTGTGACATGCAAGGATGTCAAAGGGCTAGTGTGCATGGCAATATCCTCTACTGCTGTCATTCATTCACTGGTAAAGAGTCACACACCCGGCCTTCTGTCGGGCTCTCCTCTCTCCAATGATGAACCCAGAGTCTATTCTGACACCATGGCACCTGTGTCCCATTTCAAGCCACAGGCCTCATTCCCTCGTCAGAGGATGCTATCCCAATGTCGATGTCCCTTTTTGGATAGGGGTAAGAGAGACAGGCTAAAGTCAGCCGGAGGAGGAGAGAACGGGCAGTATGGAAAGGAGAGTGTGGGTTCTGGGGGAGGTCCTCAGGGGAGGGCCAGCCGCTACTCAGGCAGCCGCGCCCCGGGCGGGGCCGCGAGCACCCAGATCGGCGCTCAGAGGAGGAACTTGAGGTCACGCAGATGCTGGTGGGGGGGAAATGCACCATGGAATTTGGAGACCGCGAGGCAGGTCCCGCGGGACGGTCATGGCCGAGACCCTGGGGATATGCGCACGTGGGGAGGACTGGTCCAGGTGGCAGGAACAGCGGCCCAGGCCAGCGATGGGGCTGAGGGCGCGCGGGGCGGTTACCTGATGAAAGTAGTCTTTCCGGTGCTGTACTGGCCCACCAGCAGGATCATGGGCTTGTTGTCGAAGTCCGCGTCCTCCAGCGCGGGAGAGTGGAACTCGTGAAAGCGGTATGCTTCCTCCAGTGGCAACACCTTGCGCAGGTAGAGCGAGCGCAGGCCTCCGGTCACCGTCTGCACCGCGTCCGCACCGCCCATGCGCTCGCGTCCGCCCGCCTGCCGCCCCATCCAGCTGAACATCCTGCCGTCCTCCGGTTCGCCGTGCGTCCTCTGGTCTCGGTGTCCCGCCGGCGCTCCGACCCCGATCAGGGCTCAACCCACTCGGCTCACTAGCGAGCTGTCCCAGACGCGCTGGCAGCTGAAACACGGCCCCGCCCCTCCGCACCACAGCCAATCGCTAGCCGCTACGTCACCGGCCCTCGTTCACTATTCAAAAGCGCTCTCTCAGGTTCTCCTTCATTGGGCCCCTGCCAGCGCGGGTGGAAGTGTCGACCAATGGAGAAGAGGTTCTTAATAATTTATCGATGACGGTGTCCGCCCTGAGGACGCAGCAGGGAGAGGGTGTCTCCGCGACAAGGGTGGCGCAGACCCGGCTCCCTGGACTGGAGAGAGTGCCTTACAGTCGGTCGCCAGGGCCCCACCTCTGACCAGGTGGCATCGGCTTCCGGGCAAATCTGAGCTGGCAAGAACGAGCCCCCGGAGGCTGAATTCTTGGAACGTTTGCTTCTTTCAGGCCTAACGAGGTCAGAAACTTGACAGATTTCGTCATCGCAAATTATTGTTACCCCTATTTTATTAGGGAAGAGATCCAAACCCAAGGATAATATTGGCAAAATCTGAAGGAGGAAAAGTCGACTCCAATCTACTTTCAGTAGATTCTTTTCTCTTTACTCCTGCTGTCCCCTGCTAATTTCTGGTCAATTGAAGGCTCCGCTCCCTGTTTAGTTGTGCGTGTGTTTTATTCCTCCTGTACATTTTGTCGTCTTCCTCATTATTGTTGTTGTTGTTATGTGCCATCGAGTCGCTTGCAACTCATAGCGACCCTAAGTACAACAGCCCTAAACTCTGCTCTGTCCTGTGCCAATCGCACTGTCTCCGATACACCCATCCGTACATACATACTCCAGTCACTGAATCAATCCACCTCATAGAGGGACTTCCACTCCTGCGCTGTCCCTCCACCCTCCCAAGCATGATGTCCCTCTCCAAGGACCGTTCCCTCCTTACAACATGTCCAAAGTATGTTAGACGGAACTTCAGAATCCTTGCCTCCAGGGAGCCACCCGGTTTAACCTTTTCCAGGATGAATCTATTTGTTTTCCTAGCAGTCCATGGTACCCACAATATTCTTCTCCAGCACCACAGCTCAAAGGCATCAATTCTCCTTCTATCCTCCTTGGTCATTGTCCAACTCTCTGATGCCTAACAAGTGATTGCAAAGACCATGGCCTATATCAGAGGCACCTTAGTCTCCAGAGAAACTCCAGTGCTCTTCAGTACTTTGGAGAGGTCCCTAACAGCAGACTTTCCCATCGCAATACATCTTTTAATTTCCTGGCTACTGGTGCTGAGAGTGTTGACTGTGGAGCCAAGCAAACTAAAGCTATAATGACTATAAAACACATCAGAGGAAACTGCCCGTTTCTCTCCCAGTGAGCAACTGGTGGATAGGAACCTCATGCCTTTGAAGTGTCAGTCCAACCCTTTACCACTAGACCACCAGAGCTCCCTAACAACTACAGATACCTGATCCTCACTCAAAATTTATTCAGTTAAAAAAAGCTGCGGAAGAAATCAAACTCAACAGGTGTCCTAGGTTGGGTTCTTTCCTCTGTGGTTTTCTGTCTTTGAACATGTAAGAATTGGAGGCAAAGGAATAGGGACTTGGAGAAGTCTAGGGCCAGCTTTCTCCTTGCAGGCTTAAGCTCACACGTCCAACATGGAGAAAAAAAAATAAAAAGAAGAAGAATCTCTTAAATTGGGGGGAAGAAGGGGTTCTGTATGGCAGTACTTCTTAGACTTGATAAAATGCAAATTTTTATTGCATCAGTCTGGAATGGGGCCTGAGATTTTGCCTATTGTTGTTATGTGCCTTCAAGTTGCCTGTGACTCATAATGACCCTATATACAACAGTTCTGAAGCCAGTCTCACTGACTCTGACACCCCTACCCCCATTACCTCAATTACTGTATCAATCCCTCTCATCCAAGTCTTTCTCTCCTGCACTGTCCCTCCACCCCTCCCAGCTTGATGTCCTTTTCCAAGGATTGATTCCTTCCGGCCACATGCCCAAAATATGTGAGATAGAGCTTCAAAATCCTACCTCCAAGGAGAAATTTGGTGTCACCCCCTCCAAGACAGATCTATTTGTTTTTTTTGTGATTCCTGGTACGTTCAAGACTCTTCTCCAGCACCACAACTCAAAGGCATCGATTAGTCATCCTTAGTCATTGTTCAGCTCTCTGAAGAACATTACATTAGGACTTGTTTTTAGTTCTCCTCTCTTTCTACCATAGACTTTTAAGTCAAAGTGTCATCCACAGACCAATAGCATTGGGCACACCTCAGATTTTATTAAATAGAATCTGTGGTAGAAAGAGACTAGGACTTGGCATCAGTAGACCTGGGTTTTAATTCTGATTGTATGACTTAGTGGTCATATGACTCTAGATATATTACTATCTCTGTGCCTAAGTCTCCTTGTTTGTAAAATGAGAACTCCTTAGAGTTGTTATGTGGATTAAATATTTAGAGGAAGCAAGTATAACTAGGGAAGTGAAGAGAAAGCCAAGGGAAAATGAAATTAGACATCTGCCTCATGCCAAGAAAGATTGAAATGCAAACTTAAAATAAATCCACAGAGCTATTAAAAGAAAGTAAAGAAGACTTATAGGGCGCTGATTGAACAAAATCTTTCTGATCAGTACCAAAGACAGAAATTATGAAAGAATAGGTGGGTATAAAATGTTCCACTATCAATGCTTGGCCTAGTTTTCACAGCTGATATTGAGCTTCGCCAGTGATTCTTCCCACAGATGTAGCCAATCTGATTCCTCTGTATACCATGAGGTGAAATCCATGTGTATGGTCTATGTTTATGTTTCTTATAATAAGTCTTTACAATGAATAGGTCATTGATTGTACAGAATTCTATCATTCTGTCTCCAGCATCGTTTCAATCACCAAGTCCATGTTTTCTTACTACTGATCTTCCCTGTTTCCAACTTTTGCATTCCAGTCACTCATTATTAGTAATGCTTCTTGATTGCATGTTCCATCAATCTGACTGTAAAAGTTGGTAGAAGTCTTCTATTTCCTCCTCTTTGGCTGTAGTTGTTGGTACGTATATTTGAATGATAGTGGTATTCACTGGACTTCTTTGTATGCATATGGTCATTATCCTGTCACAACACTGTATTACTGTATTTCAAAATAGATTTAGAAATTACTGTCTTAAATATGAAAGCAACCCCATTTCCCCTCACCTTTTCATGTCCGATATAGTAGGTCATATGATTGTCTGATTAAAAATGTGCCTTGCCAATCCATCTCATTTTGCCAATACCTGTTGTTGTTGTTATGTGCCATCGAGTCATCTGTGACTGATAGTGACCCTATGCACAACAGCTTTAAACCCTGCTCTATCCCGTGTCAATCTTATTGTCTTCAACACACCTATACCTATTATTCCAGTTACTGAATCAATCCTCCTCATTGAGGGTCTCCCTCTCCTGTGCTGTCCCTCCACCCTCCCAAGCATGACGTCCCTCTCTAAGGACTGATCCCACCTTGCAACATATCCATATAATGTCAGATAAAGCTTCAGAATCCTTGCCTCCCAGTAAAGCCTGATTTCACCCTCTCCAGGACGAACTTGTTTGTTCTCCAAGCAGTCCATGGTATATTCAATACTC